AGAGAGAGGCCATTGGGTATGGCACCCATTGACCAACATAGCTCCCAGAGGTCCTTGGGCATGCATCTCTGGTTCAAACCGTTTGTGGCCAGAGTGACAGGGTCATAAGATACCAAGTCCATCCATAAGGAAGCCCACCTGGTGCGAGTACCTGGATGGAACTCCTGGGCTCTGTAGCCTGTGTTGCACATGACCAGGTTGTCTCAGGAGGAGGTGGGCAACTTTCCTGGTGCTCTTACCTCTGGCGTCTTAGTCTCCTGTACAGATCCAGTTGGCTCTCTATCCCTTAACTCTTAATGCACCCCAAGTCCTCAGCCCTCTACATTCCTCACTTTATACCTTTCCCTTGGATGTCCTTACCCAATTTTGACAATTATTCAGTTACGTTCATACGCTAACTCCAAGTCTTTATCATTAGCCCAGACTTTCCCCTGTGCTTCAGACTCCTCGAGAATGGTTCTATTTCTTGATCTGGGTGGTGGTAACACAGGTTTGTTCCCTGTGTAATTTTCTGTATGTGTGTTTGACTTCAGTCAATCACAAGTTTATTTAAAAAGAAAAAGCAAGGAGGTAAAATTGTGAATTATATAGTAATTTGGAGATTTTATTCTTATAAAAATGGTATCAGAATATATGTAAATACATTTATAGTACGTTTTCACTTAATATATAGTGGACATCTTTTCATACCAGTGTGCCATAGATGTAGCTCATTTTCATCATGGTGCATGGTGTTCTGTTGTATGGGTCAGTCATACTCTATACAGACATTTAGGTAATTCTCAATTTTTTTTGCTAGTAAAATAGTGCAACTAACATTCATGTAATTACATTTGTGAGAATTTCTCCATGACAGATATTTAGAATGAGGACTGTTAGTTCAAAGGGTATGCACATTTAAAATTCTGATAGGTACATATAACAGGAGACCTTTGGGAGGTTTTTGTGCCAGTGGATGACATCTAAATTTCCTCTAATTTTAACTGTACAGAGTGCAGAGCCCCTCGATTCTCCATCTGAAGATGTGGGGACAAGTTTTAAAGTTGGTAGGACTCTATATCAGAGCACCAGGGTAGACCAGGAACCCCCTATAGGGCTGGCATTGTCTTCTCAGTCAGCTGGTACCTCCTAGGAGGCAGCAGACCCTGGGAATGGGGACTGACCTGGTGTGTGGGGGGGTGTCTCTGAGCCTCCCGGGGACCTTAGGCCAGTGATTCTGCTTCAGGAATCAGTTCCCTTAAATGTCAGATCCTGGGTTGAGTCAAATTGGAGTGTTGTTTCAAGCATTTCCTTTATAGTAATGGATCTCGTTGTCAAACTGAGACCAACACTGCAAAGCAGATCTGCTTAGTAGAAATGGGAATAGAGGACCCAGGTGACAACATGAGAGTACCCACCCCTAGTCTCAAGGAGACCTCAGGGCTCAGAAGATCTAGTGAAAACACTCACTGGGCTGTTTGGATTTTTTGGGTTCTCAAATAAAAGGGATTTCCACTTGAACCCTTCCACAGTATTCCACAAATTTTGCTTTGGCTCAGCTCCTCTTAACTCTACCAGGAAGGAGACATTATGAACCTCCTAGGGTTCCCTAAAACCCAAGAGAGAAGGGTTGACCTCACCCCATCTCTCTGACATGTCTACCACAGTACCTATTACCTATTGGTGAGAGGCATTATTTATTGATTGTAAATAGTAAATGTTAGATTTTAATATTATATTAAAATACTGTTCTTTTACAGTCTGGGAGTTGTGGTATGGTTCTTTCAATTCCAGTGCCCATTGAAATGAAATTCAGTGTCTCATATTCCTCTTGCAAGGTCATATGGGAGAAGGGAGAAGGGCTGGGTCCCCTCCCTGGCTCTTGACACCCCCAAGTACCCCTAACTCAGAGGACAGGTTCATTTCAGCATCCTTAACCTGGACAAGGAGGAGAGATAGCCCCTCAGAACTCCTGGGATTTAGAGGTTGAGGTGCTTTCACAGGCATTGACACACTGCTGGAAATGCAGGTGTCTTTAAAAGTAGCAATTAGCAGGACCACTTCCTGCCCCAAGACAGTGGCTGCCTTTTTCACAGTTCTGGAGGCAGAGTGAACATTTTCTTTTTCTCTTGTTGAGGTTTCTTTTGACCAAATGTTAGGAACTTGTGGTTTTCTAGGTCAACCTTGGAAGTGCATCAGCACTAAAAACAATGTAAAAATATCAAAACGTGTATGTGGAGAGGATCAGAAGATCCTTTGCAAATGGACTAAGGGCCGGCAGGACTTTCCATCCTCAGACCCACTCAAGGGGCTCTGTGATTATCTTTTACCTACATTTGAATCCCCCTGGGATCCTTGCCCATAACCTGTGGATTCCTTTCCTGCTTGTTCTTATCAGGGGAGAGATTTGTGATACAACTTTTAAGGCGACAACTGGGCCTTGTTCCTTAAACAATGCTTCATATAACCTAGAACTTCCACCAGTCCTGCAACTCCTTATACAATTGTTTTTAAGGCAAAAATTTTCTAGAAGGCCACCAGCCTCTCTACCAGGTACATTGTGGATACCCCTCCCTGGCTGGGCCTAATGGATCACAGTTGGGCTCTGGGTTGCCAGGATGAGAACATAATCCTGGCCAGTGAATGACCTCACACTCTCCCTTGCTGCCCAGGGTAACTTCTGGGCCCTTGTGTTTCTGAGGTCCATAGTCTCAAACAATGATCAGTTTACACACTCAGTTGTGTTGTTACTGAGACCTAAATGGGTAACTGAACACAAGCCTGTAGAGCTTGCTGCCCCTGGGATGGCTGTGTTCTTTTCCAGTCTTGTGCTGTGGGTATGTCATGGGGGCCATGGTGGGGAGTATTAGTATTAATTAAACTATTGAATGTTTTCAGTCTGGGTGAAAAACAGACACTTGCTCTGAGTTTACCCCCAGGCAGCACCCCATGATTAGGAGCTAAAGTTTATCCCCCCCATTTTGAACATTAACTTTTGGAAATATCCTGTAAGAGCAAGGGCCAGATGAATTGCTTGACACTTCTGAGTGACCTTCCTCTTTTCTGATGGCTGCAAATGTCACCCAGACATTCAGCAGGTGGACTCTGCCAAGGAGGCCTTTTTAGGATAGCCAGAGCTGAGGATAAATCCTAGTCCCTGGCAGCTGAGGCCCTTCCAGATAGGGCACAGCCATCCAGGATAGTGATTATCTAAAGTAAAGACAGATAAGGCTGTACTTTGCCTCCAAAGAGAAAGAGAAGAGCCAGTTCCCAGGGCTAGTTCAGGGCTGGGAGGAAGGCATGGATGTCCGATGGGTTTCTCCTGCAGGACTCAGAGGCTCCTGAGAGCCAACCCTACATGTAGGAATATTTAATAAGTCTTGTGCCCACTATATGGCTGGGAGGGATAATTTATTGTGTTTTTGGGTTTCCAGTGGCCAAAAATGTACTGATACTCAATAAGGGACCCACATTTGCAGCCAGCGTCTATCTCAGCAGTCTTTTTCTTTTTCCTGTTACTTTTTACATTATATAATATATTTATACGTACGTGTGTGTGTGTGTGTGTGTGTATAATGCACTCAGACTTATTCATAACAGAAGAGAGAAGAAATACTCATAACCATCAAATACATGTTTTGCAGCTGGTCACCTTTTCATAGCTGGTATTTATAGCTACCTTCTTCCATTTCCCACTTCATATTCCCTTTGTTCTCATCAAGCACCTCAGCTTGTGGTTCTTTGCCTGGTTTGGGAGTCTGAAGGGTCTGGGTCATTAGTTATACTGCCTCGATTAGTTTTTTGTAGTTTTCCATTGACAATCACAGGGCATGGCGATACTAAGAAACAAAGGATCTCCTGAATTCTAGGCATAGTCTTCCTAACCTCCATTGCAGAACAGCAGAAGGAAGCCCGAGTCCCCAAATAACACCAAGGCTGTAAAGACAGTGTCTGCTTTGGATGTAAAGATGAATAAAACTCAGGAGAGAAAACCTATGGGAAACACAATTCAGTCCCGTCC